TTCAACAGTTTCTTGCTGTCTTTAGAGTAGCCTGCCTTTCAGCTTGAACTCGAAGTCTAACTTTACGTTCTTCCAAAGTCTCTTCCTGTATTTGAGCAGCCTGTCTTGCAGCTTGTGCTTCAAGTTTTTGATTGCGTTCTTCTTCTGTTTCAGCTGCTCTTTGTGCTTGCATTCTTTTAGCGGCAGAAGACTTTCCATAGAAAGGGCGTTTCTTGGATGGCATCATCACCTGTATCACTAAACAATAATTTTCATTTCACAAAATTACTAAATCACTTATGAAACCACTTAGCACTATTTAAAGAAAACTGTTTTTGGAAATACTGAATTGACAGCAAGGTGATCTGAGTGTCTCATGCCATAACGCTTTCTATGTGCAAAACGTGCTTATGTTTGTTTGTTTATTGCAAAAAAATGGCGCAATAATAATTTATTGTCAATTTCCTCATTAAATACTAAACCAAATACAAAATGAATAGCACCATTAAATTTCTTGTAAAAAACTGGTTATTATGAAGTTATTTTAAAATTTGTAAGTTCAACCGTTTGGTTTCCTATAGCGAACAAAATAAACAAACTTCCTCTTTTATATATATATAGATGTTACGTATTAGAATTTCGAATAGTCCGAAGCCGAGTTAACTGATAATTTAAATTTAGTAGATAAATTATACTTTGAATTTATTATTTAAATAAATGCCAATATATAGTCAGTTTATGATATTTGCCAGCAATATTGATACACACCGTTTTTAACACAAATACGTTCAATATACACACAACAATACAATTTACAGTTATTACAAATAGTTATTACAAACAATGATTTATAAACAAAAGTTTCACAAAATTACAAACAATATAAAGTATTCTTTCTAGTTTGGAACTCCCTTGATATCTTATCGAGGGTTTACCATGAGCGAGTTAATTACGAGTTGATGGAGATACGATCCGCTGGGAAGCTAGCTAGCTTTGTCCTTGGACACACACACACACACTAGGTTTACCACCGGTGAAGTTAGGTAATGTTTTCGTAAAAATATTAATGTCCGATGAGAATCCACTGAAGTTAGACGATTTGCAATGTTCGAAATTTATAAATATTCCTGGTCAAATATCTTAAGTTTTCCGATTGATAAGCGTTATAAAAATCACAGTTATAGCTTTCGAAGTTTATAGCACACTGATTATAGCGAACTAATAATAGACATTCTCCTTGGCGCGTCGCGTTGGTTATATTTGTAGCCGTGGGAAGGTTTTCTAGAAAATTCAGTCTTACGTAACAATACTGGTTAAAGCGTTTACTTATATAGATATATTGTTGATTCTTACACTCGAGAATCTTCTACAACTTTGGAGAATAGGCATGAGTTTCGCAATACCTATCTAACAGTATAAGCTATGTATGTTTCTAAATATAAACTTAATCTAAACAACGTTCATATTAAAATGAATATAAAACAATAAATTCGTTACATTAATAATGAAACATTGCTTTTCAATGATAATTGGGGTGCTTCATCTGTTAAATGGATCTGTTTACTACTGATAACGCGACATTGTTGTTTAAGAGAATTAATATGCTTCATGGGGTATATGAGTTTGTTTATTGTTGCTAATTCGATATTGTTTAATGGGGGTTTATTTGTGCCATCTATTTATTGTTGATAGTGAGATGTTTTTTTAATAATTGTTGATGTGTTTAATCTATTTAATAGATCTGACAATGAGAAATCTTTCAGTGAGAGTTAGTGTGCATGAATCAACAATTACATGAATTTTATTTGTTATCAGATTAGTAGCCTATGTTATCAACTGAGTTTAATTATTAATTAAGCATTATTTTTTAATTACCAGCTACTAATTAGTTTTATCCTACGTTTTGACTGTATAATTTTTCCCGTCTTCAGCGAAGTCCCGAAAAGAACTATTTCTGTGGTGTTAGAAGCCGAGATTCGATCCTCGATCTTCCTGATTTTTTTGGGGGGAGGGTCTGGAGTGCTATCCATTTATTTGGGATCTTTCCTGTTAAGTCTTGAATCAACTAACTTAAGTGAATCTTTTCAAGAGCTGTATCTAAGTTTTTACCATTCTCTCTGCTAGATGGACTGAGTAAATTACTAGCCAGGTAGATGTAGAAGGCTTTTTTATGTATCCTTTTCTTTCTCGTATGTGGTTCCTGTCCCATTATTTTAGTATTATTGCAATTTATTGTACAGTCTGTTGTGGCACTGTGGGCTATTGCATATAGATCATTATTACAGTCTTTGGATTCTAACGTTTATTGGTTTTCTTTTTAGTTTTTCCGGTGTATTGGAGTCCACATTCACCTATACATTTTTTTCAATTCTCCACTGAAACTTTAAATAGCTCGGCGTGTACTAACTACGATTGTATTGTGCTGTGGCTTCTGAATACTGCGGTAAAGTTACGTTGTCTACGTATCCTATATAAATTTTCAGAAAAGCCTTCGACATAGGGGAATATAACTGTATGTCTGCACTTTTCTTTATCTTTATTCTTAGTGTTTATCATCTTTATCAAGTGTTATGGGTATCCGTTGTGAATTAGGGTTGTTGTGTGGTGTTTTTCTTAGTTTACTGCTGCTAACGTGATATTTTTCAGTAAATGTTGATGAGCCTTTTCTCTTAGATAGCCCTGTTTATTGTCATAATGTGAACGCTTTTTCCAATTTGGCGATGCATGATTA